AAACTGGTGAGTTTAGGTACCGTGGAAAGAAGAGCACCACAAATCCTCGATATATCGACTCATTTCACGCACAGCTCAAATGAAACATTTTAAAATTCATTTCCTCCAGGGAGTTAATTAAACAGGCAACTTCACAAAACAATATTAGGTAAATGTTTTTTGAAACGCTATTTTATAACCAGGAACTAACTTAAAGGTAGTGTTTCCATCTCCAGGTGAGAAGCCAACCTACACAAGGAGCTTGAGATCCTTTTACCCCTTCAAGGAGGTCCTCTCCTCCTACTGGAAGTACCCGTCTATGTGAACTCCATCTTTCTCAAACTCTTTTGAACAGCCTGCCTCAGCTCTGCCACCAGCTCGAGATAGGTAGAGGACAAGAGACGCACAAAACAGAATTAAATAGCTTCACGCTTAGAAGGCAGCAACTTTTTTAAAGGTTAGGCTTTTTCCTGATTTGACCATCTCTCACCAAAACCATACTGGGTCAAACTCCTGCTCCACAATTTATTAGGTGTGTAATATTGAGCAAATCTCTTTATTTCTCTGTGCCGCAGGGATTTCTTTGTAAAACGAGTGTATTAGATCAGAAAACTGCCAAAGCTTTGTAGCTCTAAAAATCCTATGATTCCATATTTGGCTGGCTTGATAACGACATTTATAAGCCATCGCACCTATAAATTGTGTTGTCAGTGAGTTCAATATCTGAACTTGAATATCTTTAGAGAGCAGCTGGAGGAAGCTGGCTCTTCCTCAGCCAATTACATTTGGCCTTTGAACTAAACTGTGTCACCTTCCTCCAGCTCAAGAGATGTCTGACTTGTTGAGAGGCCGCCATTAAAGCCACACAGTCATAACCCTGTTCTGAGAAAGAAGCCCCAGCTCAGCTTACTATTCCTAGGAAGCTTCTTCACAATCCATGTGTGCTCTTCCAGCCATGGGCTGGATGTGGCTTTCATAGCTGAAAGTCAAAGGCCATTGCTTCCAGTACAAAAGAGAACACCCGTGGATGAGAAAGGCTGGAGGAAAAAAAAGTATAAGAGAAAGAATAGAAACACAACTGGAAAGAATTAAGCTGTGGCTTACGAAGCTGGAATGCAGATTTTGTTGGGAAAAATGGAACGTTTCCAGCTTTCTACACTTGAACCCAAACCCCCTACAGTGTCAGGAAATCAGGAACTTAAACTGTCACATGAAATATAATGGGCTTTAAAGAGGGCCTATACCATTTATCAAGGAGAAAGCACTGCAGGCTGCCAATTCCTTAATAGGGGCGTGGCTTTAGAATCACAAAATTAAAATGCACGAAGCTTTCGCAAGAGATTTTGGAACGGAAGGGTACCACTTAGGTAAAAAATACCACTGTCTGTTGGATTGAAACCAAATTGTATCACCATCTGTGCCCATCATGCATAGGAGAGGAGCCTTATGACCCAAAGTGAATGAGTGGGAACAACAGATAGACAGCAAGGACATAAGTCCTTACACTGATTAGAGTCAGTAAATGTGACCGATGTCTCAACCATTAGGCTTGGTGGCTCAAAACATAAATCTAAGCTAAAGTTAGAGACCCTTCAGGAAAAGCTTAAAAAAAAAAAAAAAAAAAAAAAAGGTTTTGAGAAACTTGTGGGTCTATCATCTCTCATGTCTTGCAGAACTTTCCAGGGGAGTATGTGCTCTGAGGAGTCCACTCTGACCAGACACCACGCTCTGGGCTGTGAACACTACTCGTCCAGGGACTCCTCATGATGCTTTCAGGGCTGTTCTGGCCCCAAGGGCAGAGCATCTCAGGAGAAGCTTTCGGCCAGCAGCCCTGCACTTTGGATGGCCAAGATCCATGCTCCTAAGGGGTCTTCTCAGCCCTGTTCTGGACTTCTTCCCAGAGGTGGGAGGCAGCATTTTTCAAAGAATAGTTCGTGATGGTTTAGATGGCAGTCTTCAGGTCATGCAGAAGCCACAACTCCCAACTCCCCTGTCATGTGTATGCTTCAGTGAGTTTTAGTAATGTACCGTGCTGTGCAACTTGCACCACGATCCAATTTTAGAACCCTGTCATCTCCCTAGTCAGTCCCTCGTGTCTGTCACAGTCAGTGACCATCTCTACCACCAGCCCCAGGGAAGCGCATGTTATGTGAGTGCCCTTCCCTCTCCTCAGCTCCCACGTCCTCAGTTCATGTGCCAACAGGCATCGCATGGGTTACCTACACGCTTCCCAGTAGGAGACGATGACTCTGCAGTCCGCCGTCTGGTGGAGGCTGGGCACAAAGGCGCCTGTGCGTGCACACGCTCCACGCTGGCCGGGAAACTGACGTGATACCTTCCCCATCCAGCCCAACAGGGAAAGGTCCAGCTCTGCTCCAAAAGGCTTCCAACCCAGCTATTACCAGTGTGGCCACGGCTTTCAAAGGCTGCAGTAAAACTGAATATGGTCCTTCACCACATACCCCATTTTTATAAATCGCTATCACTCAGACCTTGAAACTGATGATCCTGCCTGTGTTTCTTGAAGAGGATATCGGGAAATTCAGAGGGAAAACAACCTTAAGATGATCAACCGTGGGAGACAATGACGATAGTCAAACCGCTTCTGGAAAGCCAGTTACACCACTCACCCAATATTAACAAGACAGGTTAAACGCAGTTCTCGAAATGGTGGGAAGAGAAGCAGAGAAGCATTTTTTAACTGGCTCCTCTGTGGCACTTGGAAGACACTGGCGTCCAGTCTCTGTCTCTTTGCCAGCACACCGCACACCGTGGTCACCAGGTGCTTTCTAGTAGGAGCAAACATGTGTACGACTGGCGAAATCCACCCTGGAGGTCACGGAAGGTGACACCCTAATCCTGAGAGGTGGCTCAGGATTCTGTCACCCGCGCTTTGAGAAAATTAGCGTTACTGTCGTGCTCCCATCTTGAAAAACCAGGCTGATAGTGAGACGGTTCTGCAGCAAACCTCCCTACGATGCATTTTGATTGTAAATGATACATACCCATGCCGAATTCATTTTAAAATACGTTTTTGTTTCATTGATTAAAAAACAGTAGCAAAATGGATTCATACATAGAAATACTAAAAAACACTTAATTTTGCAGACATGCAAAAAAAAAAATGGACAGCATCTCTCATAGGGATGGGGTCCAGTCACTTAAGAGCTGGAAAAAACAGTGGTATTAATTTAGCTCCATTGCTAAAAATGATTTCACCTGAACATTGAATTTTCCCATTTTTCTCCTGAATTTACTCTCAGAATGGTAGAAAATGCATTGTGACAAAAATATAGAAAACACTGGCTGGGCCTGCATCAAAAGAATCTTCCTAAGGAAAAGGCAGAATAAAATGAAAATTTTAAATCCCTGTGGAGTCGGGGGTTTTTTTGAAGCATAAAAAGCAGACATTTTTAATGCATGAAGCCCCACAGTCCCTTCCCCCAACCCTTTCACCAATGTCCATACAGTTTTGTATTTTCCATTTTTTGAAAAGAGCAAAGAGTAATACAAGAACTTAAATCTGGAGACAGAAACACACAGGGATTATCAATGTAAAGTCTTAACTTTCTATTTTCACAGCCACTCAAATTAGCCAAACTACGACTACGACAAAATTAACTGTAATCACGATGGAAAGAAGTGATCACCTTACAAAAACGTACATTTTTGATTACAGAAGACCGTAAATCAGTTAGTTATGTTGAAGTGATTTCCACTCGGGCTCCTAAGAACGGAGGCCTCAAAAGCAAATGTCTAGAATCAATTTACTTGACTTGCCCATTACCTTAATTGAATTTCAAGAATGACCTAATGCTCATATTTGAATTAACAGGCAGAAAATTAAAATTGGATTTCTACCTGGTGCTTCGCTGCTCTGAGAAGAACACCCCACTCTGTTCGCCTTACCATGTTGGTAAAACAACGCTGAGGCATTTAAACACCAGGGAATATAACCCGTTATAAAATCTCTTTATATGTCAGCCATTTGAAACACAGCAAGTCAAAGAATACCCAAAGAGGAAACACGCACAGCAGAGACCAGCCATCGTCGTTCATGCACACGCTGTCATACAGGAGCAACCAACATCAGGTCAAGGGTACGCTTCCCAATATTGCAAGCAGCTTAAATGAAGCCTCCAAACAAAGCTTGGAAATGTACTCCCACACACCCTGCACACTTCAAGGAAGCAGGCTGCACACCCTGTAATGAAAATCAGCCGACACCTCACAGATGTCTTACACTGGACCTGCGTTCAACAATTAATTTAGAAAGAACTCTTCTTCAGAAAAAAAAAAGAACTCACTTAATTGTGTTTCACATTAAAATAAAAACAACTAATTCCATAACTGGGTCAACCAGCCACTAACTAACTACCACAGGAACAGTCATTTCCACACCCAAGTAATGACACAAAAGCTTCCGGACTACGCAAAGCAATTAATTCCAACATCTGTTAGTACATATAGTGAAATTCTGTATCAAGACCATCAGTGGAACGACTCTTTGTCCTGAGAGGCAGGACTTTCCACTTATTCTTTACGTAATCAAACAAATCTCTTTTCCTACTTCCAAATATTGGTTAGTTCAAATTCTACAAATCACATGATCGTGACCTTCCGTTGCCAAAATCCTGAATTCCGAGTGTGCCTATTTTGAAAGCTCTTCCGGGAACTTTCCACTACAGCACAAGAATTTGACAATCCTAGTGTTTTCCACACTGAAAAACAGGATCTATAACATCACGGAGGCTCGCCCAAAGTGAACCTATTATATATTCACAAAATAACAGCACTGCCTTAGAAGTGAGACACTTAAATCCTATGGAAACCCCTTTATTGGGCAGCAGCAGCAAAGCAGCAAAAAAGAAACTCGAGAAACCCTCCGCCTTCTCATTTTTAAGAATCTCATATGCTCCCACTCGGTAGAACAGAACTGAGACTCACACATTTTATTTGTCTTCCAAAAATAGCCAGCACTGTGAACACAGGGAGAGAGATAATGAAGACCAGATGCCTACCTTCACTGGTAGCCACATTCTTCTGGGCTTGGGTCGGCGTGTGATCTGTACTTGAACTCACGTCGGATGAGATGCTTGAGCTGCCTTTGCCTGGAGAAAACAGGAATGAGCAGCTTTTGAGTTTTGTGATTTCAGAACCGGACCATGCCTTCTACTCTGTCCCATACCAAGCCATATCACTTGTTTCCAAGAAAGGAGCCATAATACCAAGTATGGAGTTTATTAGGTTTCCTGCCTTATGCATTAAATATCTGACCCATGTAAGAGTGGAACTAAAGCCCCATTATAATATGGCTTGACTGTAAACTCAGACAAGATTATAAAACATACGATAACGTAATTTCATTTTGGCATGCACGTGAATAAGTAAGGACATGTGGGAAACACATCCACGGCATTAATTTTTTATTTGCAACTATAAACTATACATTTCCCAGCAAAGGACAAAAGCACATCTAAGAATGAGGCATTACCCAAACAGTAAGAGCCTGCTAGCTCCAAATAGTTGTGGCATCTTTTCTTTTTATGTTTATTTATTTTTGAGAGCAAGAGAGACAGAGCACAAGCGGGGGGAGGGGCAGAGAGAGGGAGACACAGAATCTGCAGAAGAGTCCAGGCGCTGAGCTGTCAGCACAGAGCCCAAGGCGGGGCTCGAACTCACCAACTGTGAGATCGTGACCTGGGCCAAAGTCAGACGCTTAACCGACTGTCACCCAGGCGCCCCTATTCTTTTAACTTTTAAAATAAACATATACATTAATAGTGCTAAACATTCTCAAAATGTCACACGAAAGTCTGAAAATACGAAGCTGACTCACGGCCTCATGAAGGAAGTGCCAGTGACTGGCAGTGAGCAGAATTCTAAGATAACTCGCGTGGTACCTGCTACAGACTGAACGGGTCCGACCGCCCACCCCCCAACACCAATTCATCTTAAAACCTAACCCCCAATGGGATGGTATTAGGAGATGGGACCTTTTGAAGGGTATTAGATCATGAGGGTGGAGCCCTCATGAATGAGACTAAAAGAGACGCCAGACATCTCCCTTGGTCTTTCCATGTTATGAAGACACTGGAGAAAAGACAGGCATCTGTGAACCAGGAGAAGGGTCTTACCAGACACTTCGATCACTTCAATCTTGGGCTTTTCAGCCACCAGGGCTGTAAGAACTAAAGTTCTGTTGTTATAAACCACTAGCCTATGGTATTTTTAAAATAAAGTTTGTTTGTTTGTTTATGTATTTATTTATTTATCTTGAGAGAGAGAGAAACAGCAGAAGCAGGAGAGGGACAGAGAGAGGGGGGCAGAGAATCCCAAGCAGGCTCCCCACTGTCAGTGCGGAGTCTGATGCGGGGCTCAAACTGATCAACCGTGAGACCATGACCTGAGCTGAAATCAAGACTCAGGGCTCCAACCCATGAGCCTTGAGATCATGACCCAAGACAAAATCAAGAGTAGGAAGCTTAATAGACTGAGCCACCCAGGCGCCCCTATGGTATTTTGTTGTAGCAACTTCAACAGGCTAAGTTAGCTGGTGCTCCTGGCATGTCCTTAGTTCCCTTGAGCGTGGGTAGAACCTGTAACCTCTAAGCAACAAATAAGGTAAATATGAGGGGGTGTTGAAGATGCAATTAAATTCCCCAATCACTTGGCTTTGATCAAAAGGGAGATCATCCTGGGTGGGCCTGGCCTAAATAGGTAAGCTCTTTCCAAGCGTCTAGAGGAAAGAGACCCTGCCCATTGGCCCCAAAGAAGCAAGCAGCTGTGAGTTCTACCGCTGCAAGGGAAACGAATTCGGCCAACACCTGCATGAGCATGGACGAGACCCCAAGCCTCAGAGGAGCCACAGCCCTGGCCAATGTCTTGACTACATCTGTGTGACATCCTGAACAAAGCTCCCAGCAGATCCTGGCCCAGAATTCCATCCCCAGGGAACTGTCGGATAATAGATGTATCCTGTGTTCCGCTGCTCTGAAGTTTGTGGTGACTTGTCACACGGCGATAGAAAACTAATATAATGACCATCCAATTCTATCACAAATGCGCTCTTCTCGCTTAGCAAGTTAGGATCAAAACCCTTACATGCAACTGAGAAACACGTTCCCTGCGCAGTGATACGTGCCCTAGTTTCGTGGAGTGCAGTCACATCTAAAAACAGAGTAGAAAGTACAAAGGCACTTCAACTTAGGAGCTTCGGGGATTTGCTTGTGAATGTTGAGAGTACTGGAACAAGCCAAGTTCATGGGTGATATCACCTGAGCAGGGAAGTCAAAAGGCTGTTGTCTCCTTTCAGCACTGCCCGTTGTTCACTGTGACTCCTGACTCTGAAACAAGTCTGTCATTCCAGTTGTCCCGGCCCATTTCCCATCTTACGCGCTCAGAGTTAGCCAAGGTGACGCATAACTCTCCATGAGTTTGTGTCTAGCCCAATTTTGTGGCCTGGCAGTGGTCACCATTTATCTGCCACGCTCCACCTTTGGACAGGGTTGACACGTTGGATGGGGTGTGTAGTTTGAAGCCTGCCGACCTGCTCTCTGACCTCAGTCAGCCCCTACTCGTTTTTGACCTTGGCCACTCATTTCTCCTCCAGGAGGCTCAGTGTCCACATGTGGTAAGAGAGATGGGTGGACTGATTCCCAGCAGCTTGGATAATCTGTGATCCTAGGAGTCCCTCACAGTGCTCCTTAAACCCGAGCAATGCCAACACTCCCTTTGATACGGCAAAAAGCATTATTGCCCACCACTGATGGAGACTTACATTATTTTTAGTATATTGGTATTTAGCAATGCACAAATGGAAAGCTAGAAATAAACTCCATACGCTTTAACCCTGATTCAACAATGAGACCAAAACAAAGTAACACATTGAACACGAAAACAAGAAAGCCCATAAAATTCAAATTAACGGCATTAATTTCACGTGGCAGATGATGTTATTTTGCAGAGATTAAATTGCCTTTCAAAATGTTAACACAGTACCGGCTGCGAAAGCGAATGTTCTCTGGGTTAGGGCATGTCCGTGCTCCCCCTGGCCCGTGTGAGGGCTCAGCTGAGCACCACTTTCCTCCATCCAGAATCGGGAGTCCTCCCTCCCAGAGCAGGAAGACAGGTCACTGGGCCTTCACTCCGTCTGTTTTACTCATGATCTTTAAGTCTTCTCCTCTTTTATTCCTTATTGGCCCCTAGGCATTGAAATAGAACTCCTATCTTAAAAGATAGGCATAAACTTGGACAATGAAATCCTGTGGCAGGACTCATCCATAAAGGGGAACCAGGATACAACGATTTATTATTTTCATGCCTGTCATCAAAACGAAAGCCCAAAGCAAAATAAATTCTAGAGGAAATTCTCAGACAGGTCTGAAAACAGAATGCAGACCCCCTCAGGGGACCACAAACTCCAATTTAAGAAATGCTGGTCTATGAAGAATGGGAAGAGGCTAAGAAAACAAATAATATTAACAATGATATTAATAATAACAGCTATGTATACTGTGCTGTGTAGCCTAGTAAATACTTTCTTCATCACATATTGACTGTGCCCTGCGGCTATGTTTTGCAATCACTTTTTCATTACTGCCCTCCCCCCCAAGGAACCTTGTTAGACATTTCTCCCAATTACCCCAAAAGATATTGTAATACCACCAATATACTATATATGTTATGCACTGCGTATATACCTCTGCTTTTTACATTAAATGGGGTTCTCCCCCCCCATCAAGAACCATTTTTTGTCCCTTTGAGAATATATGTCCTTTGACAGTAAAACACTGAGTATTTAACAAATTAACTAATTAAGGAAAGCAAGATCATAGAGAAATGCAGTCCATTCTTGTTATTCATGGTAGTTATGTTCTATAAAGCCACCCCAAACCATGCAATGACAAGAGTGGATCACTGCTTCTAGGGGAAAGACAGGGTTAGCTTTCTGCCAGCTGCTGGACACATTTTTGTCCACCCGTCAACACATACCCTTGTTTCATGCGTGTTTCTATTTAAAGACACCTTATACTGTTGATTGATTCGCACTGAACTTTAGGCCAACAGAGCTATACCTCAAGCTTAAGTGAACCTTATCTAATAATACATGTGAGACACCTCCCAACCTTCTCATACCTAGAAACGTTAGACAGCTCTTCAGCATGACGCTTGAAGGCCACCTTAGAGAGTGAAACCACCGAAGAAATGCACACAAATCGAAAATCGTGGTGGTCAATAAGGCTGCAAAAAGGACATTTAGTCACAGCAGAAGAGCCAAAACAAGAAGACAGGCATCACCTTGTTCATCCCCAGCTGGGGACATGCACATTGGGAGACTCAGATTTTCCTCACTCTGTTCATGTCCGCAAATGACCACAAAAACATGTATTGATTTGGGGGTTACAAATAAATTTCAGCAAATACACAAATTTGCAAATTATGGAATTCACAAATAGTGAGCATCAACTTATATAATCTTGTATTAAATATGGTTTTGCAGCTTTCATGTGGACCAGAGAGAGTATAGTCTGTAAATGACAAATCTCATATGTGGATTTGTAATTTACTGGTCTGAGGATTCAATAAAAATAACCCAGAAACAGCACTTAGGAAATACTCCACAAATCTTAGAATAAGTTCATATTTTTGGATGCTATTAATATTCTCTTTGTTTCTACCCTGCTTCTGGAAACATAACCATCTCCCCAGTGAGTTCAGGAAAAAGGTGTATGTTTCGGGGTGGGAAGCTTGTAACAGAAATGTTACAGGAGGAACTCAAGAAGGAATGGACGAGGGCGTACGTGTCAAAAACAGAAATTGGAAGTATAACAGTGTTCTTGCAAGCCAAGCTATGGCCTTAGAAAGATCATCCTACATTTCTTACCTTCAGACAATGTTTGGTTGAATAACTGCTGTCTACATCTTGGCCAAGTTGACACATAAAACTGTCCATCAGTGTCAGACCACAAGAGTTTTAATTCCATATCTACCAGTTCCAAGCAACGTGTCCAGGAGAAAATCTCTCTAATTCTCTAACGTTCATTGTCTTTATCCATAAAGTGGGGATAAATGCAAACAAAAAAACACTACCCGTTTCCTCTATAAATGG